TTTTGAGGAATAATAACAAGCAGGTGGCCCTACAACTCTCCATAATATACATAATAATATACAACTTAACCAGACCAGAATCGCAACCTGCGCCGGGAATCATTCCTTCGTTACCCCTGGACAAACACAACCCTTGCTTTGTCCAGGAACCTCGCAATTCGCTGTATAAATTGACCGCCTCTTCCAGCAGAAGGAGCTTCAAGGACTGTTCAAGGACTGGTCTCGTAGAAAAGAACTGGCGGCTGGCTCACGAAAACTTCATCGAAAATGCGAAGAGACCAGACACCAAAGCAAGGTAATCTCTCGTAGTACATGGAGTCTTGAAATTTTCATGGTTGACATTGAAAAGCGGACTAGTGGGAATATATATATATCTCGAGAGAGTTTACATTTTCTTCACAGGAAATGGTTCGTACTCTCTTTGTGGTTGTTCAAACGAGAACTCAAGCGTTACATGTTTATAAGACGTCACCTCGAGATCTGGCGAGTACATAAGGCCAAGAAGAAGATAGGACCAGGTCTAGCTGGCTACGTGAACTAGCAATTCCCTTTACTGACGATACTCTCAGCAAATAACAGCCTTCGGGTATAATAAATATTGCAAACGGCAGAGATATTATTAACTACCAACTCATAGAGAAATAAAACATTAATATACTTTCCAAGCTAAGCTCAAGCATACAATAGCTGGACACATGAGGGAATTTTTCATGGATTGATTCTTCGGGGATTAGATGGATCTCAATGCATCTATTGCCGAGGCCTTAGAAGCCTAAAGCAAAAGCAGTTCTGAAGCCTTCAATGAATCATGGCTCTGGAAATCCCAGGATTTTAGCCTGATGCGTAGACCATTTCTTAGAGCTCGAGAAGGTTGCTTGAATTCTAAGCTAATCCGTTGGGAGTCGCCAGAAGATTTTTCTCACAACGAAAAACTGTCTTATGTTATAGGTGATAACTTCCACCTTGTTCAGGCAGGGAGGCTTCTGCAGCAATGAAAGTAGTAAAGCAAGAGCTGACCAGATTCCAAGGGTCATGGTCATGCGACCCCCCGAAGAATAGAATCTTCCGAACCAACATTCGCAGCGACTAGGAAGCTGTTACGGTGGGGACTTGAAGATCTGTCCTCGATCACCTCAGGACGGATTTGAGCTAGTCTCTCAAAGATCGTCACTTTCGAACATGGCCACACTCTAGACCGATGTAACTGATGCAAGTGTGCAGGCAGACGGCAGCTGCTCCTCGTTGCTCAGAGCTGATCAATTAGCCACGCAAGACTTCATAGTTCCACCGACATGCATCCCAACTACTTCGATATGCCAGTCGAGATTAGTTGACAACGCTGTGTTCCGAGAGCATCTGTCTATGTCTCATTACCTCGCAGGTTTAATGTCTTGTAACGTGGAACGTGCATTGAGTTTCATCGTGAGCTCCAGCATCTATAATTGACTAGATAGACTTCCTCATCTTGAAATATGTACCTCTACGGTTAAAGGCATTTGAATTGCGAGTGCAGATTATGGGGCAACTTTAGTGGGACATGTTAACTCTTGCGTCGTAACCCGGCAAAAGCTCGCTGCTGTTGACACACAACTTCATAGAACTCTCTATGAACTTTGAAACCAACTCCATGGAAAATGTTGAACGAGAGTTTGTTCCAAAGAATCTCTATTGCTTCACGCTACACTTCCTTTCACGGGTGACGCAATTGAAAGCACCTGTAAATTCACATTCCCAATGATAATACTGGTATATGTAATTATTACTTTTTAAAATATCTATGACGAAGGTATATTATAAGTTGATATATTTTCCCTTCGTTTTGATACGCTTAAAAAAGAGTACTTTTCATACAAAGTCCTACTTCTAGATACACACTGAGTAAAAAATGCACATGATCTTATAATTTTCTGAAATTAGTGGTGAGAATTTGTTCTATTTATCAACTACTAAGTCTCTCACCGTGGCCAAAACAAGTTCTACCGGTTTATAACAGAATGTTATGTTAATTCTTGTCTTATACCGTAAATATAGAGGGCAGTAAATAGCAGAAAGGTTTTCTTCAAAGATGGTACTGTCTTTAGTTCGTTACATGAAAGTTACTGCAGCAAGTTTATGAGTAAGACTTAGTGATCGTTCATTGAGAACAGTGTCACACGCGTAAATAGTTTATGCCTATCTGGACCGGGTATAGGTTGCCACATTGGTACCTAAATTCGTTTCCATATTTCTAGATCACAGTTATCACTCTTGTAATCTAGACTTCACATATTAAGGAGAAAGAACTAATTGTTCGTCTATATACGGTATATCTATAACTTGCATCCTTGTTTAGCTCACCCAGTTGATTGCGTCTTGCGTTGCATGTAGAGTTCGAGATTCGAGGAATGGGATAAGTATGTTGACATGGCTCCGTTCAGTGACATATTGCTGAGGCATATGATTCGCTAAATTGTTAGAATAGAATATATCTTGTTATCTAGGACACCAATGCATCGATTTCAGAACAATCCCACCACCTACTATACTAGACTGCAACTGTGGCCACCTTACCACACATGCCAACCATAAACGATCGAAGCACTCGATTGCAAGGTCGGCTTTCTCAGGCTTCGAGGATTTAAAAATGCCCAAGTCTCCGGTTCCCTGGCCTCTCGCGGATCGCCTGGCACATGATTGCTAGTCCACGGTGGAACGAGGGAGCTCGCGAAGTGCATAGTCATGAACTGTAATGTAGTTCATGATTCTGCAGGTTCTCGTTCAGTGAGGGTGGCTGCACCAGACTCGCTCACTGAACGCCCACCTGGTTGGCCTCGTACCTCCTGCACTGTGTAGAGAAGTCAGTTGTTCCATGGTAGCCACGCCTCATCCCTCGAAAGCGTCCATTGGAGACGGGAATACGAAAAAGTACAGGAAAGAGCAGAGTCTCGAGGAAAGCGCAGGGTCCGGTCTCAGCAAAGTCGAAGGCATCCACAAGATTTACACTTCCAAGCCTGGGGGAAATTACTTGCTAGACCATTCAGTCACCCACATTCACTCAACCATGCCTTCAGTCCTGCAGTTCATCCAATCACTCTCTCCGACCTGCCTAAACGGGACATGCGAAGGGAGAACAACAATCCCAGCATGATATCTGGGACGCTATACACTCCCAGGAGCATTGGGTCATCCCAGCTATTTACAGCGATTCACATTCACCAGATACTCACTGCACACATTTCGTATACATATATTTCACAACCATGAGAAATCAAATGATTCTGATTCCCCATGGCTTAGAAGTGTAGGAATTATACCGAGTGCAAAATATGCTTGAGAACACGAGGCGGAACCGAAGGGGAATTTCTAATAGTATCCATATGGAAGATTTAGTTAAAATCCTCTCCAAACATGCTGAGGCTCAGTAATCTTCGGCTTGGTAGCATGGTAGCTCATAGCATGTCCCTATATCGACATCGTCCTCGTGCACCCATGGATCTGATGACAATAGAAGCAGGATTGAAGCGCAGACAGGTCGAGGAGCTCGTGTGAAACTGAATTGACTGATGGTGGTACTGCAGCGTATTTGTCCTGAGTCTAAGTTTGTGGTATCATTGCGTGGGACCATCCAATGAGACCCCTTGTTTGCGATGAGCTCGTCACCCCGTTGCCTCATGGCAGTTCAAGGGTTGAACCGCCTCGTAGAGCGAACAAATTTCTAGGCCAAGATACAATCCAAAAACTACTCGCAGAAAGGAAGAAGGTATGGCCATCGACACTATCCTATGTGTGCAGAAAAGTAGAGGTCGAAGTATTCTCAACCATCAAGTCGATCTTGTTCCCTGCATGCGAACGTCGGGATAAAACAAGCTTTGGAACTTGCACAGACACGCATGCAAAATCCGAGTTCCTCGCCAGCATAAGCTTTGTTGCCACCGCAGGGAAGGTTCGGATGGATCGCAAAAATCTGCCTTTTCCAGTACCAGGTCATATATTATATATCAGTTATATATCAGCTAATATTTGAAGGTATCACGATGTCCTTGGGGCGGAGGACAGAAACTTTCAAGGCACAATCGGGCAGTTCGAAACTTGCGTGGAGTCGACTGAGGGGTCATCATTATGACCGACGCTGGCGATGGAGATGCAAGCGACGTCGCCACTCAGAAGACTGTTGAAGAGGACACCGTTTCCCAATGACATTGCGTGCTAGAGTAGGGCCGGAGGTTCAGACCGACTTGGTCGAATCGTAGAGCCTCGCATTATCAACCACGTGGAAACATTTTTCTATTCATGGAGATGCCTCGTTTTTCCAGAACCGTCCATTCGCAGATAGTCCCCTTTCGTGCATGCGATTCTGGTAAAGAGCCCATGACTCCTCGTCCAGGAACATCTTCACCATCGCCATCTAATAATAAACAGTCCGACCTGGCTTGGTGGGAAAATCTTTCACTCATGTCAAAACATGTCAATGGCTTCCATTAATATTTTCAACTCATTAACTTATTATTTCGTATATATTAAGGAGAATCTGACTTTCACAAGGCATCGAGCTCCATTCTTCTTCCTCTTCTTCTTCTATATAAATGTTTTTATCAGTCTGTCGGCGAGTGGCAGGTGGGGCTGGAGCAGTCTTTCTCTTGGCAATGAGTGAGAGAGTACATCCTTGATGTGTAAATGTTCCTTCGAGTTTCCTGGTGGGGCCGACAATGAGATTTCACGGGATTTCACTTTTCGAGGTTCCATTGAGCCAGGCTGTATCATGATCTAAGAGTGCATAGCACTGTACAGACCCACAGAGCCTAAGACCGAGGAAAGTCCTACTACTCATGGAACCGAGAGATCTCGGTGCTTGGGATCTAAAATAATCGACATAATCTGATCCAGCAGCTCGAACGAGATTGCAGGCAAATCTCCGTGCACATGAACGTCGTAAACCCAATCATTCAATGATTCAAATGATCTACATGCATGTCGAAACAGATTGAACGCAATTTCTCCTGTCACATCGACACCTGTGCAATCTGGTCAAACACATTTGTGAGATCGACAGAGCTGGACTGCAAATAAAATTCTTTTATGTTACAAATTTATCAGTGGCCAGATTGAACTCGTGGCCACCCTAGCCTCGTGGAGATTATCTTTTCCAGCTTGAACTAAACAACTAACTAACTGTCTGAATATCAACTGGGTCAATCGACCTCTGTACTGAAAGTTTGGGATCATCTCATTTAGTAATCTAGGTCTGGCCCGGAAGCTCGATGTGGATACTCACGAAATGTGTGCATCGAGTGGCCCTGCATGCTCTTCCAGAGGCTCAAGTCAGTCCATGGGCAGTGAGGGCCGACAAGAGTCGACAGGTCCCGTGGAATGCCGAGGACTTCTTTAGAGCGACCGAAGAGATTGAAAATCTTGCCAGAAAAATCTACCAACCTGGTTCCGAGATCCAGCAGCGCTCTGGGAATTGGAGATTTAGAGCTCGTAAATCGCAAAATCGCTGTCTCGAAGGTGGCGGCTGGCTACTGCTGGAAGGCATGCAGGGGCACGGAGCTGGGTCTGAGGAAGGTAGCACGCCGAAGCTGTACTCAATTGCATGTGGCGAACTCGCATTTGCCTCCCTTCCCTATCCGCATTTCGCAGGCCTCGAGATCGATCCAGCCATCGGGAGCCTCCTCCTCCCGAGTCTCCGATGTCACATTCACAGCAAACCGGGCGAACTCCCTCGAGTATCCGCACAGAAGTCCGGCCTCGTGGTTGTCTTGGAGAAGCTCCTCGATGATTTGTGTGTGGATAGTTTGGTCCAGCTGCCGGAACTCCTCATCACTAATCATCCCCACCACCTTCTCGATCACCTGGTGAGCTTTCCTGCACGGCCATCAACAAATCAACAAATCTTAAATCAACTTCTCGCATCAAGTGCAGCTCACCAAGAGCCACCGACCGATTCCCAATTACTGTCTGACGAGCAATTAGACCACAACCGAGTCCTCGATCGTACCTTCGAGCCAAGCGTTGGCGGAAGACGGCCAAGCTCCAAGTGGATTGACCGGTTCCGAGGAATGCCTCGGACCTCGCGCAGATTTCCTGCTCCACGCCAGCGACCATTCTGCTGCTGACTCGTTCGTTGGGATCGACGATGCCGAAAAGGTCAGCGAGTCCCTTTCCTTCCTCAGGAACGTAGCTACCGTCGGGGAAATTCGGCAGGTCCTCGATCCTCCACATGCCGATCACTGTCATGTTCTTCTCCCGCAACATCTCCACCACCTGCAACAGAAAGAGGGCATCAAAACTTCGGACACTCAGAATGCGGATCCGCCGTCGAAGAAAATCATGAGCCGAGATTCTGGACTCGGTGCCATTCACTTACGTCTCGGATTAGTAGCTTGCCCTCTTTCCCTCGGACCCAGCCGTCCGTGGCTATGTACACGGTTGTAACACCACTCTGCACAGCCCGATCGTAAATTGCGTCGACCATGTCCTCTTTGGCGACTTTGACGCCATGGAAGTGGCAATTTCTGAGGTTCTCCGCATGGGCCTGCCACTCTGCAGCCTCGACCTTGAGCCGTGTGGCGACGATGGCGCCGTCACCACATCGCAGGAAGCAGGTTCCCAATTGCCTCCCTCCGCAAAAGGATTCCTCAAACCTCCAGTGAACTGCAGGCAAGCAGAAGTCAGATTAGCATCTCAGGCATTCGCCGCAGACAGCCACCATTGCAAATCACATCAGCCTTCTAACCCCATAGCCTCGCCCCCGTCCCTAGACGAATCTCCATGGCGTCGAAATCGGTCAGAGCAGAACATACGAGACATCGATGTCGACGAGCGTGTGCAATCAAAAGCAGAGGGACGGCTCTGAACAGAGAAATCGAGGCCTGCATGAACTAAGAAGGATTCTTCGTGCTGCACTTACTGGCGATGTATTTTGTGTCGAGGCCGAATGTATTATTCTGGAAGGCTGCGGCTGCTTGAACCAGAGACTCCGCAGACGGTAAGTAGGCACCAAGAGCGAGATACGCCCCTCGCCACCTCAATCCGGGGAAGAGACCTCCCAAAGCCACGCAGCTCAAATTGGAATACCCGAATGCGTTGCTTATGTCCTCCATCGATGTCCAAGACACGAAGGACCACTTCATGTTCGTTGCCTCGTAAAGAGTCTGCAGGCAATCGAATCGGACCGTGAGTGATCAGGCCGTGACATGATGATTACTGATCAAATGGAGGCGAAAGAATAAAGCCTAGGGTATGAGTGAGTGTGAGCAAAATTAACCGACGGTGAATTCGACGAGTCTGATGAACCTACTTTGTCGGTGGCACCTTTTTCCCAAGCGGGGAAACTCGGAGTTCTCTGTGATCTGAGGAACCATGTCGCATCCAATTTGCGGTTGCACGTTTCCAAACAGTGCTCGGAAGTCGCAACTTTGACGAATTTCTTCAACTCCTCCACGTTGTACCGATCCTCGATTGCAAGCCCGTGCCCGTTTCTCCACAGAAGCCCTGAAATTCCGACCAAACTTCCCGTCATCACCTGAAATGAAATGAAAGGCTCATGAAGGCCTCTGATAGCAAATTTTCAGCCTCTTTTTTCTGGAGTGTGTCATGGACTTTGAATCAGGAATTTCACGAATTCCACCAATCGGCAGAGGGAACGGCATCATCGGAGGAAGACTTACCGAAGTGCCTCGAAGGTCCATCACGGAACGGGCTCAAGCAGAGGGTTCTGTTCAAAGCATGCGCAACGATGGCTGCCGACATGAACTCCATCACTTGATTTCCGGCCCCGACATAGTCGCTCAATAATGGCCAAATGAACCTTTCCTGAACTACCGTCGGCTGTCCGCGATCAAATGCAACCACATGCAAACTGATCAGTGCCATATCCAAATCCAGTGGAGAAAACAAAGTCCTAAGTTTCGTATACATGATTTTGAAAATCGAGGCAACTGCATGGCTGACGATGTGAGCAAGTCAAGGACAGGCAGCAAGAGTGATGCTAGGGCCTTCGGTACGCGAAGAATACAGCATGCGCCGAGCAGCGTAGGAAAAATGGAACAGATTTATAGATGCATGAATCAAGAGGGATTTGCCGATCATGCAGTGGCAGCTTGGAAGAAACACTTCAGGCTCGAGGTATCCATCACTCATTGAGGAGTACCTGCGATAGGTTGCCATCCTCAGGCTGAGTCTGAGCGAGGGAAAGTGAAACACACAATACTAGAAGGAGGTATATGACACCCTTCTCTTGCGCCATCGCTGTCACTGTGGTGCAAGCCTTGGTGGAAATTCAAGGCTTCATGAAAACAAATACTCCTCTCTCTGCAGAAGATCAAACGACCAAGTAAGTCTGAAAGCTCGACCCTCAGTCTATATATGGAGCACATCTTCATGCATTACTCTACACGAGATCGGACGTCGCGCTCAGCCTCGTCAACATTCTCAATCCGGCAGAAAAAGAAATTGTCCTCATTTGTTCAGCTCTAATCATCACCGCATCCTGCGATGGAATCTGGAAAGCCATGATACAAAATTCCGCATCACAAGCTGTCCAGAGTCCAGCTGCGACCACAGAAATTGCTGATCCAAATTTCGGAAAAGATTTAAGTCGATCGTGCGGGAGCAATGGGGCCACATGGTCGAAGGGCTGCATGGTCGAAGGAATACCTGATTCTACAAGAAGAAGAGGAAACTCCTTCGCAATCGGATTATCTGTGCTTCCCTGCTGAAGAGTGTGTCGAGGCCCGAGCATTATATTCCAGAAATTCGCAGCAGGAGCAGTATCTGCGCATGCGTGCGCTCTAGCAGCCGCTGCTGGGTGAGCGAGCACTGATGGGCAGCAGGTTTCCAGGATCTCCAGTGACCACCTCTCGCGCAGAGGATCGACGAGCAGTGCCTCCAGTCTCGTCACTCACGACGCGGACCACAGTGCTCGACCTCCACACTCACAAACAGAGCCCCGCTGTCGCGACTCTCCTCGCATGCAGAGGCACTCGGTCCCTCCGATTCCTGCGTCGCGTCGCGTCTTGTGTCGTGTCGTCGCGTCACAGCGTGGGGGTCTGCCGGTCCTGCACACAATCACTCCTCTTTCACTTTCAGTTCGGCCGACGGAATCTTCTAATTCCGACGGAATCTCGTCACTTGATTCTGCCCCCAGCTCCGCCCGCTAGGCTTGGCCACGGTCCGGTTAACGGTTAACCTGTCCGGGAAATGTGCGGACCGGTTAACCGATCCAATTAACCGGTAAGTTAACCGGTCCGGCATTTTGCCATATCGGTTAACGGTTAACCGAGGTTTTAACCGGTTAACCATCTGTCCCGACCCTACGTGGCCGACGGGAAGGGCTGGGAGCGAAGGAGGAATTGCGCAATAGCTCGAGGACTCAAATGAGCCCCCACTCGGACTGTTGAAAATCCTCCCGGTAGAAAACGCTCTCGAATTGGAGAGACTTCGACTGTGCGCCAGGGTGCAGGGAAGCTGGAGAAACAAATCCAAGCTCGAGATTTATGCTAGGGATTATCCACTTATCGAATTGGGTGATCAAATTAGGTGATAAAAAAATTTACTTATTTATTTGCAGCAAAATTAGACCAGCGAGCCTCGCTGGTCTAATTCTGCTGCCAGAGGAAAAATTTTTTCCCGGACCGGTTAGGAGAAATCTGGGACCGGTTAACCGGTCCCGAAGGTTAACCGGTTAACCGTCGGTCCGGACCGGACCGTGGCCAAGCCTACCGCCCGCACCTCCCTCTGATACAAGGGTCTTCCGCTCGTCGCAGCGGTGGCCGGTGGATCCCTGGGAGAGCTCTGGGAGACTGACTTTGGGCTCAGAAAGGTCACCAGGTCAGCGGGTCAGCGCCGGTCGAGAGGGGAGTTCGGAGGACGAGGACTCGTCATGATTCGCGTCGGACCTTCGCCTCGCCTCGACCTTGAGCACTGGACGAAGATGCGCGACGGTCACGACGCAAGGGGTGGCATGATCGTGACGAAAGCGGAGGGATGGCTCGAGGGCCAAATTCTTCTGCTCAGCCGACCGGAAATGCGCAGATTGGCAGCTCGCCGATCACGATCCTGTCCGGTATGGAGGGACGAGGCGCTGCAGTGATCTCGAGGAGCTCGATCTAGATTCTGCTCTATGATTAGGACCCGTGTTCATGCTGTACGTGGCGGAGCTCAGATTAAGTCAGAGCTCAGATTAAGACCTTAATTTTATTCCTCCTCGTCCTCGCTTCGAGCTGCGCCAGTCCAGGCAGGCCTTTAAGGAACGAGTCCAAATCTCGTTTGACGGACGCGTCGGACAATATGCACCTGACCAGAAGTCAACCGGATCTTGCTACCAAGAGGCCTCCTCTGTAGCTCCTGTCTACGGTCGGGAAGCTCTCCGTGGTTCGAATTCTGCGCTGCAACTCACGAAGCTGCGGTCTGTTCTCTCTCTCACACTGCTGACAACAGTCAGAAAGGCCGGACTCGTACTCTTCCTCCTTTGAAGGAGGACGTTGTTCCGTGGATCGCTTGAGCTGGGACTCGTTCGTTCCCAGGCACCTTCGACTGTGTACATGTACGAGTCCATGCGATGCACCGAATGTGGGATTAGTTAGCGACTCCTCGTGGGAGAATTTGAATACAGTGAAAAGTGTTCTGGGATGCGTCAGAGTTGCCACATAGGTATGAGAGTAACCTCGTGTCCGGCATTGTGTTGCTTAGAGGGTTTAGTGTTAGAGGCCATGTTGATTTATAATTTTTAAGTGAATGTCGTTGTAGGCAAGTATACTGCAGCTTGTGAGTTTTGTCCTGCGAGAGGAGCTATTAGCTGGGTTCCAAAATTGCGTGCAGTTGTGGCTCTATCTACACGGGCAGACTACTGCAGATCTTTCTCTCCAACTTGTTCATGCAACATCTAACTTTGTCTAGTAGTGTGTCTAGTTGGTGATCAGATTCGCAAGCATAATATATTTAATCTTTACCACAAGCATGCCTTTCAAAAACCTTCATGATCTTCTTTTCACCATGTTTTACACCCAATGTCATCGAGTTTTCCCGAAGGTATCAGATTCAAAACTGCATTCGAAGAGTATACTGAAACAGGTCTCATAACTTCGCTCTAATACCATTTATTGCAATCATGATGCAACAGTCAAAATAAAAAATGAGCATAAAAATAAAATGAACACCACAAGATTTGCATGGAAATTCCTCGATCGAATTGAGATGAAACCACATCACTATCTCATAAGTGTGAATACAACATGTCTCCATTACAAGAAGGGAGGAAGAAGAAGATACCTCTTTAGAAAGGAAGGGAAACGCATCACCTGGAAAACACTTTCAAGATCTTGTGAGAATTCAAGAGTGGAATGTCAATGTGTTCATCCAAGAATTCTTTTACAGGCACGAAGATTGGCTTTTCATCTTCAAGCTCACGAATGAACAAAACCAGAAGCTTCAAAGTCATTAGCAGTTCATGCCTCAGAAGCTAGGGGCCATGTATCTATCTAACGCCAGGGTGTTACAGATCAGACAAATAACGCTCATGGCACTTGGGCTGAAATTTGATAGAATAAGTCACGTCTACACTTTCAGTGAGACTTGCTACAGTCTATGCACATCGGAGATCGCCACGATGTTATTGTGGGCTGATCGACTGTAATTACGACTTAGAACATGAACTGAGTATGAGTAGCCTCCGAGCTAGAGTGGAAGCAGATTGTACGTCGGCCAATTGCGGTCACCGGGTGAAAGTTCTAAAGCGTACTTGACATAGCTGTATGCGCAATTATTTAATACATTGGTTCCGGCACGCAGAGCTGAGCTCAGCTCTGCACGGAACAGTTTTGGTAAATGTTAAAAAACTCAACGCTTTTGCAGCCGTAAAGACGAAGGCCTGACCGTGAATTTTCAGTATTCCCTTCCTCTTTGTAGAAAGTGGTACTGAATCATGGTAGTCATCGACATTGCGCTGGAAGGTATCGGCCTTTCATCGTTACCGTTCAACTTTCTAGACGGATGTAATCAGAATCTCATGTTCTGCAAAATGAAATGGTTTGCCGTACCTCAGTCCAGAGTTTTCGAGGGATTGAAGTATCCGTCTCGCTCGGAATCTTAAAAAGTCGACTCCAAATTTTTCTTTATATCCAGAGTCCTGTTCGTGGAGGGTGTACGACACTTTTCATGAAAGATTGCGTGGAAAGGAAAATGAGTCGTAACTTGGACGGACCGGCTTCTGATTTGTCTTGTGCAGATGGTCTAGCAGCGTCTTCAACTCGCTCCAAGAAAAGATAAAACAGTACAGATGATGTATATACCAACATAGTATCTATAAAAAAGAGTTTACTTTGTACATAGTAGGTGGAATATGTCACTTCAAATTGTTGCTTTAGTGAAAGTATGATCTCGATGTCGAGGATTGCACCTATACAAACATACAGGTTGTATTTTTGGCATTTTGTATTTTAAACCTTTCTATGACAAAACCAGCATTATGGGTTTATGAGTAACAGGAGAACTTTAGCCCTTAGACAAGGCACCTTGAGGATATGAATAGCAACCTATTGTTCATATTTTTTATTTTTTTTTCTCTCTTCATACTTCAAAACTTTTCATTTGTTCTCTAAGTTTTTATTGAATTTTTTTGTTCCAGTTGACATGTGTGTATGAGGAACTGCATTCACAAGGCATCCTCATCATAGTTAAAAAAGGGTGAGGACACTAGAGGACATGCAGGTCACAAACCCTCCTAGGTGTGACAACTTTGACAACACCTCTACAGTCGATACATGCATGCAGGGACAATGACATCACATTATTAAGAAACTCAGTATGATGTTTTCATTCGATGATTTTTTAGGTCTATTATCAGTTTCATCACATTCTGATGGTTGATAAATCGGGCAGGTTAGTTGACATGGACTTGCCCATGGAAATATTGTCCAATGTTTGTTTCAATTTTCCTCTTGCTGAATGCCACATAACCTACCACTAGGACGGAACTTCATCGTGTAACAGGGAGACTAAGTCTACTAAGACTAAGACTTAGCCTTCAAAGACTATTCGTACCTGGCCGAAAGCAGCCAAGACTTTTGGTCTGATCACGATAAATGCTAGTACTCGTATTGACGTTTGCAAGCATTCTGCTCAGAATCTGCTAAAATTGTGACAAGACAAAAGGTTCAAGGTATCAATAACATTGACTGGACTTCGCATTAGGCTAGTGTAAGAACGATCGATGTTATGAGATTCGTGGGTTAAGTAACGAGAATAAGTCATCCTTCTAATCTATTCCCAAAGAGCACCATTGATTAACTTTTTACACTAGATGCGAGCTCTTGTAAGTCCTTTCGCTCCTGGAGTTACGTGTTAAGTGAAGCATCTCATGAATGTAAATTCTTTTATATCTGGTCTGGTGATAGGCAAGGACTTTAGATTCTCCCACATTGTGATAAGCACCTAAAATACGTCAGTGCTTGCTCGAGGTCTACTCAGGGTGTCGACGTTCCCTGAATATCCTGAGAAGAGTCGACACCCGTGACCATGGGCAAATCGCTTTTCCAAGCAAGGATTCGTGAAACTGCATCTCGAAGAGCTAGCGAGTGAGATTCCCGCTCGGGGAGCTCACAGAAGCTAAATGTAGTTCAGCACGGTGGAAGAGTCGAGATCTGAGTCCGGCTTAGTCCTCTCCATCAGTCAACGTGAACGAACTAGCTTCTGAGCAGTAACCAGCAATATATGTAAGCAGCTGGCTGCAAGCGAAACCCAGCGAGCTCAGAGCTAAGAATTGACACAGGACAGCCCGCTTCGCTTCTTGCTCCTGTTTTCCTTCGTGTGTTTGTCGCTAATTTGCAGCGCTAAGGTCGTCGTTGTCGTTTGTTGGTTGCGATCAGTCTCATTCTCAAAGATACCATGAAGTTGAGGAAGGTGTGAGGGAGAGGGAGTTTAGTTCTTATTGCCACTTGCTTCTCCACTTGTGTTCGAGCGTGATCCAACTTCACCGTCGCATCACAATTGTCGTATGGAAGCAGATTCTACCCTCGGGCGTTGCATGAGAATGTTTCTGGACTGAAGTGTTTGAGATTGTATGCTTTTGGGTTCCTTGAGTACTAATTATGGATGCCCTCGCCAGTGAGTTGGAACTTCATTGAAGGTGAAAGCTTAGGAATGAATTATTCGGTGTAAGTATAACCTTATATAAATTAGATATTGAGCAGAAATACCGATAGCTGACGAACAAAGACACATTATTTCAAAAGTATATTTAAAGCATGAAACCATGAATTGAGAAATACATCTCTGACAGGCATTCAACAATTGAACTCTATATCAGCATATGCCTGAACCATCAGGTTCTCCTGTCTCACACACTCAATGAATGACAGGACTATCTTGAAATAGTAACTTACGTTTAACTTACATATAATAGTTGTTCGTGTTCGGGGTTTCACCTATTATCCAGCGTCTTTATTTAACAAGATGAACGAGGTGATTATAGGATAGCAAAAGCAATAGCAGAGCTGTTAACATGGACATGCTGAAAGTGAAAAGTGAAAAGAAAACTTCAATAGTTCCAGAAATCTCGCGCCAGTAGATTCGTCTACCACACAGACCGGGGTCAATACATCAAGTCTGAAGCAGGTGCTACACCCCCAGAGCGTACCCAGTTTCTATCATGATTATGGACGAGCTCGGGTCGAGAGACAAGATTATTACAGATGAGAATTAGCGGATACTGACAGTGATCGAAGTTAAGGAGTCCACTTGAGCAAGCTTGTGGGCCACCATTGGCATCAAAAGCACTTGAACTGTCAACGCTGCCACTCTCCTCAAACGTCAACAAATGTTCCAAGATCAGCATCAAAAATATGGAAGGCTAGTCAGCAACAGGTACCGCAACCCTTGCTTAGAATCCAGTCGGATTCCGCCTTTTGCATGCGCTTGTCTTTTTCTGGCGCATTCCCATGAGCACTGCCACTCTTGCAGTCCATATTGCATACGAATCATGTCAACATTCTCCTTTCAGCTGAGCCACAGTTCTGACCATATGAACCAGGTTCTCCGGGGCATTACAGTTCATTAGCAGCGCTGTTGTGTGGAGCTTTGAGCTGTCTCCCTGAACATCATCATCGATGGCGCTAATCAAGTCTCATAAGTATTCGCAATATCTGTATTTTCAAACCCGCAACGCAGTAGCTGAAGCCTCAGCTACTGCGTTGCGGGTTAGAAAATACGGAAAACTAGATAACCATGGCCCAGTGTGCAGGTCTTCTCGTGAACTTGATTGAGCTTCCAGATTAAGATTCCAGCGAATTCCAGATGTCGGAGTCCAGTTATTAATATTACTTACAGCAGCGACTCCCACTAGAAAGCTTCATCTTGACCGAGAGATTCGTTGCACCTGTTCAGTCAAACGTGTGTCCAAAAGAGAGTCGCCAAACAAACAAAGTGGACCAGTTGTTCCTGTCCTTTCTTTTGATCTTGCCACCGCCGGGGTTCTGATTCTACGTGTGGCGTCATTCTAGCTTGGAAACTTGAATCTCTTCAAATGGTCACGATCGTCATCTTTCGTCCAGTTGATGCCGTGTTTTACTCAGTGCTCAGAAGATGAATCTGCTGAATATGCGTTGTCGATAAAGTCTTCGATTGTGCTTGTTTTCGTAAAAACTATTACGCTATAATCAGGGAATCAGCTCAAGAAGAATCTTTAATCTATTATTTGTCAAAGTGTCGCATCAGCACCTTCACTTGGTGCAAGAAGTAGCACGAAAGGCCTTGACCAAAGACCTTGGTCAACTTGGTAGCAAAGTCCATCGAGCTTTCCAAATGTCATCCTGCTTTGAGACATGCTCTCCGAACATGGAATCCACTGAAGTATGGTCGCTGCCGCACCCAAGCTCCCTTTCCACGCAACATGAAAGCAGGAGAGTGAGAGGATAATCCTCGACAAGTGATTCTTTGTGGACGAAGTCAGAAACCTTGATCACGTCACTTGTAAGCTCACTCCTCCTCTCGTGAACTATCATTCAGAGTCCTGACCTCATTCTACGGGAGAATGGTATGTTTCTGAAAGAACCTTCACTGTACTGCAATTATTCACTGAAGGAATTTGCAACAGGTGCTCATGCATTTTCTCAAAGCATGTCTGTTCCTCTCTACCGCCAATCTGTCTATGAGATTCCGATATTCATATGCTTGAACGGTATATCTCAATCAACAATAAATCGTCCGTTGCGTCTGCCACCTCGTAGTCTCGTTACAAACGAGGATATTTTTGTGTCTGAGTGCCAACAATCGTGCTGGCCAAGGGCGGTAGGTCCGTGCTCAGAACTTGTGCATGACGAACGAACGAATCATGTAAGCTCTGCCATGTATTCCCACATGATTAGTTGATAACATTGCCATCAGTATCGATGCAAATGATTGAGCGGAATCGTGCCCACAATCTCTGAAGTCCAATCCGCTAGAGGTACATGCACATTTCCTCCTGTAATTTTATCCAGTTCCTTAGCCTTTTGTACATGTGCCATGTTCAGTAAGAGCCTCTGGAATAGCCAAGTCAAATGGGAAATACTGCCTTGCATACCATAGCTTACATATCTGGTCACAATATGATGTGTAGCGAGAGTCAGGCCAATGGAGGGGAGCGCATAATTTTAACTCTCAACGAGCTTTTGAACCCATGGATAAAATCTCGATAGCACAATGGATGAATCAATTCAATAAAATATCGACAAGAATTAAGTGAGTAATCAAAGTTACTAAGAGTAACAATTATTCTAAAGTGGAAATATAGATATATATACACACAGATATATTGACATACAATTATTGATCCAGGAAGTCTCAATGTTCTTGCTCATACCTATGTATGTCATTTCATCCATAAACATCGAGTACTAAAACTTATTCACGGAGTGACATGTGTGTTTTTCTCTCTCTCTCTCTCTATATATATATATATAGAAGATTTACTTCTGAAACATGAAACCCTCCTAGTGGAGATAAAAACTGCACATAAATGAAGGTTGTCGATAGTTATCGTAACTGACTTGAGAAAATGACATTGTTCCAGATACGTGAGCAAATAACTGAGTTTTGAACGTACGGACGAGATTAATGGAGCCCATGATAAACGCAAAACCATCAGCGGGTCATACAGTCAGGCCTGCATGGACACCCATTCATACAACCAGTTCGGCAAAGACTTCACCCGATCAATAAGAGCATCACAACTGCAAGTTCAACCATCAAAGGGGCACAACCTTTCGATGTATTTATCGTCTACAATGGATTCGATTGGCTGGCGAGAAGGGTGCGGAAATCGAGTCTCGAGTGTATTTGCAACAGGGATTGCCTCCCACGACTTATTCAGTGACAAGTTCAAATAACTCAAGCTCAGCCAGAAACAGGAATCAAAGTCCACTCAATGCGCCCAGCTCCGAGGGGATCTTTCCAATCAGCTGATTGCGAGAAAGATCTAGCAATGTCGATACTTCCAGTACGTGAGCATACTCCATATAATTGTCTGATATTCTGATTGATGTCTGCTAGAACACGTTCCCTTGGGCTATCTTGATGTGTGCTTCCACTTGGATTGTATCCAGGAGAAGCTTGAAGGCACCAGGCCTGGAGGAAAAACTCGAAGCACTTGCAGTGCAGGACGCTTCCATTTGAAGCGGGACTGGAGCCATTGAAGTTGTTGAACGCCAAAGTCATCACTCACCACACGAGCTTAGGTTCCATGACTGAAGCGGATTCAGGATGTGGCCATACAGTGGGCTTCCAGCTACATCTAATAGTTTCAGCTTCGTGCAAGTCCACATTGCAGTAGGAACCTCTCCTCTGATCTTTACTCCATTGAAGCAGAAACCATGAAAGACGGATGAAATTGATGTATCTAAGCCGTCTTGTGGACGAGTTGCAGCTCAGCCTGAGATAATGCAGAGCAATACAGATGGAGAGGATTTCCGGGATGCGTCTAGTTAGACTGTTGTTATAAAGGATCAAGTATTCGAATCCTGTACTTGACCCATATCACCGGAATGGGAGCAGCGAGATGTGTCATCTGCAGTCTCAAGTACCGCATCTTCGTAAAGCTGCGGAACTGCTGAGCTATGGGTCCTGTCAGAGTGTTGTTCCTTACATTGATTTCTGCAAGTTCGCCAAGCTTGCAGGAATCTGTCCCGAAAGTAGGGCTCTTGTTCTGCAACCACAAGAGCAGCAGACTCTGCAGTCAACCAAGCTCTTCTACAATGCTGCTCTCGAGTTAATTCTCGAGCAGAAGCAAATGTCTGAGATCGACCAAATTCCCCAAAGCTCTTAAGATCGTTCCAGTCATAGCATTGTGGTCCGGGTAGAATTAGGTCGAACTCGGCCACTGCATCACCAGCTCATCGATCAAATTGCCCGAGAAAGAATTTTGGACCTCTCAGGTTCTCCCAAGTTGAGACTTTGAACTCTGACCTCGTCCCCAAATTCAGTTTCACCAGGGTTGTGAGTTCCTCATCTAAGCCTTAGTGCCATTGCTCATGTTGTAGTAGAGGCTTGGCGAGCTAAGCGAAGTTTCGTACGTGAAGAGCTCGGGCAGCTCTCCGTCAAACATGTAACTGTGCAGGACGAGGTACTTCAGCTTCGGTTACCTCCTACCCAGCTCCGCAGGCAGCTTGCCAGTGCAATTGTTGCTGTTTATACAGAACTTCAACAAACTGCTCGAGGAGAAGATGCACTCAGGAGATCTCCCACCGAAAGAGTTTGTATCCGAACAAAGGCCCATAGACTAGTCCATGACGTGCACTTGACGTCGACAAAACTGCCTGTGAAGATGTTGGTCCCCACATTGAAATAAATAAGACACGACATAATTGCCAACTCCACCGGTTCACGCCCGACCAGTGCGATGTCTCCCAAGTGTCGGTACTAGTACTAAACCCGGACCCCAATGACTGGAACGATCTTATGAGCTTTGGGGAATTTGGTCGATCTCAGGCATTTGCTTCTGCTCGAGAGGATTTCCGGGATGCGTCTAGTTAGACTGTTGTTATAAAGGATCAAGTATTCGAATCCTGTACTTGACACATATCACCGGAATGGGAGCAGGTCCAAAATTCTTTCCCCAGCTGGCTTCGCAGGGGCGGAGCCAGGATTTTTCTTGGGGGGGGTGGGGTGGGGGCTTAAGTGGGGGCAGGAGGGGGTTCACGCCCCCTCCTGCCCCCACTTAAGCTCCGCCACTATGGCTTCGTATACTTCCTGTTAAGTTTTTCTGCTCAGAACTGAGATACTCCAGGTTGCTAAGCTTACCAATGTTTTCGGGATGTTTCGGGATGTTTCGGGAGCACTCAAGTCAGTTATTCCGATCGAATAATTTGATAACATATTCAATATTCTAAAAATTTAATTATTATTATGATATAAGGGATCACTGAAATTAGATTTAAATATATCTTAAATAAATTATACAAATCTATACAATACAGACTAAAATAGAAAATAGAGTAAATTTTAGATTTTTTAATTTTTTATTTCATTATTAAATCTATGAATAATATCCAATGAAAAAATATTAATTTCCAAACATCTTTACTTTATGTTGATTATGATATTTTTTATTTTATTACATGTAAGATTTTAATTATTTTTTATCATGAAGATCACAACTCTCTAAGATAATGAAAATGTTCAATTACTATACATCAAATGATATAAACTTGCTTTTATTTATTTCAGTTGTTTTTTTCATTTTTGAAGATTTTATTACATGAATTAAATATATTTGAGATTTTACATAACTTGAAATTTTTTCTATGAATCTGTATATTTATGATTTAATTTTAGAAAATATTTCATAAAGTTATAGAAATCTTTTTTATAACTATTATAGATTTTTTTAAAATTTTCACGTTAATTCATTTTTATTCTCTGCAGATATTCTATGAATCCATAAATTTATATTTCGAATTTATAACATTATATTTTTTAATTTATGATGTTTTCAAATTAGCACGTTCAAAACTCTTTTGTGGTAAAATAACAAGTTCTAACGATTATATCACGATGATGTATGATCTGTACAAATTTGCACAATTTTACGTTGGAGAACCTGAGATGAAGAACATTGAATATCAATATTTTTGTTCGTTGAATTTAGTGTTTTGAAATCTGATGACATAACATTCATGAAACTTTAGAAGACATAAGCACACTTCTTTTTAGTTGCACTATCATTTTGTTTTTAACTCTTTTAGATATCAAAATTTGAGTGTAAAATCCAAACTTTTGAGAAACTGATGGGTTGGATGATGGTGATCATCTCCGTTCCAGCCCAAGCCCCAAAGCCATCACTACCTAGTGAGGCCGATGGCAGACAAGAGCTCAAGTCAAATTTGAATGGTAGCTCAAATTTGAGCTACCGAGCTATCATTTTGAATGATATCGTAGTAACATCGCAAGCACAAGTTGGTACTCTTCGTTTACAAAATTGGAAAAGATCAAGTGAGTTGAGATTGAAAATGCGTTTTTTGAATGAAGCATGTGTGGTTGTTTAGATTATGAATCCTCTTGTAGGCTTGTAATTGCTAGGGTAACAATTGAGTGATGCGATTTGGAGAATCCAAGAGTTGCACGACAAAACAACTGAACCTTCTGAGCAATTTAAGCATGCATTATATGCACATGTCCTGTACCTGCTCAAAACGTTTTCATGATGATGTATCATCAATATTAATTGCCTGATTTTACGCTAGAGAGTCTAAGTTGTAGAGATCTGATTATCAATAGTTTTGTTTGTTGAATTTGATGTTTTTGAGCTGGATGATTTGATGAATCGATTCATTTGGATTCAACAGTATTAAGAAATTTGACACAACAACCCTCGAAGCACCGACATGTGGTTGACATTTGGCATGCATTGAACGGATGATGTAGTGAGGTCTAATCTTGAGTTGAGATGAGGCAAAGCCGCACTTGCGAGACATCACGTAGGCGTGGATAGTACGTTCGGGCATGCCACACAGGCAGTTATATCATGATCATGATGTATACTCAATACTAATTTGTCTTATTTTGCGTTGAAGAGCCTAAGTTCCAGGGATTTTTATAGTTTAGTTGAATCTCGAGTTGACACGTGGCAAAGCGGCACATGCAAAACGTCACGTAGTCACGGGTAGCACGCTCAGACATGCCACATAGGTAGTTATATCATGATCATGATGTATCATGGATATTAACCTGTCTGACTCTATGTTGGAGAGCCTAAGCTATAAAGATTTTTAAATTCGTAGTTTGATAGAATCTCGAATTAACATGAGACGTCAAGTAGGCGCGGATGGCTTTTGGGTAGGACATATGCAATTATTTCATGATGATGATATATCATCGATATTATCTGGTGTGATTTGAGGTTGGAGAGTCTAAGTTGCATATTAGTTTGTATATCAGTTGTTTCGTTTGTCAAATTATGTATTTTTGAGCCAGATGACTTGATTAATAGTTTATTTGGATTCAACATTATTTGTAAATTTGACAAAACAATGCTCACGAGTCACTTCTGGTGGTTGACGTGACTTGGTGTACTTATTATGAAGTTATTTTCCTTAGAACGTAGATACTCCGGTTGCTAAGGTTACCAATGTTTTTGGAAATTGAGCCGTCAAGATAGTTATTCCAATCAAATTCCAAGTATCGTAGCATTGTGCAGTTCGTCGGTGACCTGAAAATTGTGCCAAAGAGCGTTTTAGTACTGAAATTGCGGTTCAATGTCTTTCAGATTTGTATTACTGGCAATTTTAAAATTCACAACCTCAAGTCGAGAAGCAGTTCAAGCTCTTTTGGAATCTTCCTCTTTAACAAATTTTCCAGCTCTTTGGTATGCTTGCGAAAAGAAGATCGTCTTTCTGGTTCAAGATTCGATACATGTAAAGCAGCCCTCGCTCCGGAGCAAGGAGTTGAACTCTTCAAGTTGTTCAGGCTCAGATATAGCTCCTTCATGTGCGAGACTAGCCAACGAAGTACAAAATACAAGTTCATATTGTTGATACATGAACTCTGATAGTGTTGGAGCTCGCACTGTAGTGATAGAAGAGATAGTATGGCAATAGAACCAAGTTATCAAGGTAACACTCTAACCGCTACTGAGGCAAGGCAAGTGGCGCTTTAGGTTAACAAGCCGTCTGTGAGGGTTACCATGCCGCACACCGTACCTTGGCAACCTCTGCGTGCATGTAGTTAAGGTATTGTTTTCAATAACAAAATTTTCTGTGTAAAGTGATTGCTTGTTAACACGATTCTCTACATGGTATTAGAGCATGGCAAGAATGATTTGAGCCGATTTGACAATTGTAGAATAGTTAGTGAGTGTAGCTGTTGCAGAATAGATCAAAGCTTAAGGAGGCTAGAGCAGTAATAGTGTAATACCAGATCCGTCGCTCACCACGTTACTCTGACACTTTGTGAAGTCTCCATGAGGAAGCATCCAAGTTAGAAGGAAATAGCAATTATAGTGTTTGGAGTTTTAAGCTACGCAACATGCTCTGCAAGGAAGATACGTGGAAGCTCATAGAACCACCACCAAACACTGTAGCGCTAACAGGTGCGGCTGAACTTGTTCAAAAGAGCAAAGCGTTTACGATAATCAGGTCATCAGTTAGAGATAATGTGTTATCATACCTTGTCAATATCGCAAAATCAGATGTCTGTTGGGCGTTATAATCATTGTACGCGAGCAGCTCAAACTCCCACAAACTCAAACTGCGGAAACTCACAAGTTTCAAGTTGGAGGAGGGAGGATCCATGTCAACGTTTCTACAACACCTCAATGAGCTCGTCAACAAAGTTGCATGTGGAGGGGAGATAATTGCAGATGAAGAAATT